GGGAACATCAGCTGGCTGAATTTGTTCAAACGCGCGATTGGTCATGAGAAAGGTCGCTGCCATGTCAGCTAACACAATCAGTTACCTTTGTCTTGAAGCAATGTGATCTTCCGCAGATTGAATAATCTTCAACACAAATGAGTGTCTTTAATTCCTTTCTATTTATTGAGCATAAAAATGTAGTCAACTTCAAGAAGGGGTCCACGTTCATAGAAGTGATAAAGACATGGCGAAAATAAGCCACGGTGGCGCGATTCGAAATCAAGGTGAGTGGTATTTTCTACTCTTACTTCAGGGGTACAGGGAGAAGTTTTCATCAGTCGATTTACCTAATCACAGAAGAAAACTGTCGCAATTGTGATCAACCAAAGCAATCTGTTCAGTCGACACCGCTGTCTACGCGGCATTACGCGAGTCCGGTGAGGCAGCCGGACAAGCAATGCCGAGGTTAGGCGTAGAGTTTTGGGTAATCGTGGTCGTCTACTGGAGCCAGTGCTCGACCTTGATAGATTACATTGGTTGGAGCATGTGTCACGCATGTCATGGCGAGCCATTTGGCGAGGCAGGTAGCGGTTGGAGAAAGGTGGTCAGCCTAAGATCTGGCACGAAAGTATGAAAACCCTAACCAGGGGACTGGTTAACTTGGGTCCAGTTAGGTTCCCTGGTTGGGGACCTCGGGATGATCGTAACCGATGGTTAGAGACACTAAGTGATATGGCCAAGTGTCGTAAACAGTGGCGTTCATGCTTCTTCTCAATTTCTTTGCAAATTTAGGTCACCGAAATTCTCCATTTTCTGTTTGACTCTACTTTCAACTTCACGTCTTTCTCCAAATGGGCAGCTAAAATACAGCAACCAAAACCGGCACACGAAGGTGTATGTTAATGGTTGTATAAACTGAAACTGTTCAATCGACCATAGGAGATAGTCATATGAGCCGGGAAATAAACTACTGTGCAGCACAGAAACCGATCCAAACGCAGTGAGACTTTGTTGATCACGGGTTCCTATGTCCCGTGCACTCCGAATCCGGAAGTTCATTCTTTGTGACAGTGATTTTCTTTCTGACCTCCGTGGTAAACATGACCGATCAAGTGACAGACGGAATAAACAGGTACTTACTAATGTCAACACAGCTGAAACTAGGTTAGAGTTCTGCTCTTTCCCACAATCACAATTGGTATTCTTGAGGACAATAAGTAATCGCGGTTATTTATGTATTATGTTCAGTGATGTCTATCATATGAATTCCAAGTTCTGAGCCCCAAGGTGATTGACAAGGGCCAAACAATGTGCAGCAGTTGAGATAGTCTCCTGCCATTTGTGGCAATGCTGAAGAGTCGGATGTCGTTTGAACCGTCCTTAGCCGGATGAACTCTCGGGACGTCGGTTGAAATTTAACGGATCAGCTCGGGAAAAGATGAAGCGCCTTTATATCTGGTATCCACTCCGCTTCGTAGTATACACTTCAAATGACAATGTAATGAAAATTGGTTCTTGCAGCCCGGGTGAACTGAGTTCAATTTCGCCTGTTGGCCGAGTCTCGTAATTTCTTAGTACATGTTTCATCACCAGCCGAAGATATACCCTCGGTTGGTGATGAAACACTTGCCTTGCCCAGCTAACAGACGAAATTAGATACATTTCGAATGTCACCAGCATTGGTAGCCTTTGAATTGCTTCGTACCAATTTTTGAAGGACAAACTGTAATCCGAGGGACCAGACTTTCTTCGCCAAACCTATCAAAACCGTAAACCCGTTACCGATCGCTAGCTGCGTTCGGAATTCTACCGATGACATGAACTTCTGGGTCCGAAAATAGTTGCACCGTTGTCGCACTCCATGCATACCGAAGGCCGAAAAGAGAAAATGTGCCGGTAGACTTGATCGAAAATTGGCCGGCTGGATAATAATTAGGCTCTTCCGTTCATCCGGTTTGACCTAACCGAGTGCGCGCAAGTCATACAAGTGATTCGATTGGCCAAGAAAGGTCTGTGATAGTTCACTACGGTAACCCTTTGAGGAATGTCAAACAGCGTACTGGCTTCGTCACGGAGATAAAAAAGACCAAGTATCATCCTAGACATGGCCCGAAGAAATGAAGTCTATAGATAACAAGGGAGCAGCGATATTAATAACTGCTCGGTAGTTAGTAATTTCGGAATCCAGTTTCGGTCTCAACAACCATTGTTAGTTTTGGTTGCTGTCCTCCGGTCGCTCACTTGGTCAACTGATGAACGAGATTAAAGGTTGCGGTGCGAATAAATTGATAGTGAAGGCCAGATATGTCTAGAAGGGGAGTGTGCATGAGTCTCCGTTTACAACATTCATGCACTGCTTCATTAACCTATGCGTACGGCGAACATCGCTCATTAAGATTAACGTTACTTCGATTGCCTTTGCTCAGTTCAAAAGGACCCGACGGAATGAAGGGCTGCACAAATCCAGTCAACTGCGGACGATGCCAGAGAAAACTCAACGCCAAATGTGTCTTGTTTCAAACAGAACTCCTCTGTGACCTCGTTTATACTGTTTTACTCAGGTGGTCGAGCATCCCCAGACG